GCTTCCCAGAATAGCAGCGCTGGTTTCCCTGCAGCCCTCCAACTGGCCTTGGCAAATATTTTAGCAACTCCATGTTTACCTTCACACTCCTTCACTCTCACTCAGTCAGAGCGCTCCTCATTCCCTGCACCTCTCTATCAGAAATAATCTGATTTTTACCCCCAGTGGTCAGGAGCACAAAGTAAGCTCCTTCACAGTGCCTAAATTGGACAAACTCAACAGCATGCTGGCCACACGTGGTTGCCTGAATGAGGCTGTCCTGCTCTGATCTTGATCTGATCTTGATCTTGATGCCGTCTTTCATAAAGTGAGCAGCTGCACAGTCAGGGTTGTTTATCTCTGATAGTTTCTGCAAAAAAAAAAAAAAAAAAAATCCAACTTGGTGATAGTTCCAGACAGCAGGGCATTCCTCTACATGATTGACGAGATGTTTGTCTTATTAGAGTTCTGCTGAGGCATGACTTGGCCTCCTGACAAGCATCCAAAATTTAAAAGCCGACAGAGAGATTGAGTGTCATTATAATACACACATGCACATTGAAGGTGGTGTTGATAAAGCTGCATCAAGGTAATAATTCCTCACCGTGGAAACGCTAATCTGTTTTCGCAATGTGTCTCAGAGTGATAAATCCTCTGCTGCTTTCCAGTCTCGAACTCCTGCCTCTGAACTAAAGATGGAAGTCAGAGCTGGTTGAGTGACGTTGGTGTATTTGTCTGTGCCCTGCTGGTGCCACCTGAAGGTTGGACGCGTTACTTTACGCTCAGCGTTAGGTAAAGGCAACCAGGCAGCATGCTAAATGTTCTCTTCTCCACATGCTTTTTCAGTGCCGTCCATCCAAAGGCAGGAGGCGGGGATACTGCTGGTGTGTGGACAAATACGGGCAGCCTCTGCCCGGCTACGACGGCAGAGAGCGGGGCGAGACGCAGTGCTACAACCTGGAGAGCAAATGAGAAGATGGAGGGACGACGAGTGGACGGAGAGAAGAAGATAGCATAAGGAGGGAAGAAGGGAGAAAGAAAGAAAGAAAGAAAGAAAGAAAGAAAGAAAGAAAGAAAGAAAGAAAGAGAGCTCACTTTGCTCTTGCATGTAGTTTTATGTAAACATTTGAAGGAACTCTGGACCTTTGATTTCAGGTCCCATTTCTGTCAGAGAGGGAGGGAGAGAACAAGGGGGAGGGAAGGGGAAAGGGGTGGAGCACAGTCTCCTGTCCATCACAGCTATCTGTCCTGTGCTTAGGGAACCTCTGTCCTTTCTTTAAAAAAAAACAAAAAACAGATTAAGCTGAAAGCTGAGACAGAAGGGGAAGAGAGAGAATCCTATCATCTGCACTATTCTTTTAGAGAGAGAGGAAGGAGGGACTTTTCCACTCACTTTAAAGAGGACTTGTTTGTGACTGTGACCCCAAAAAAAGGCACCAACGCCATTTCTATTGTGTGTGTCTGTCTGTGTGTATAACCACGACTCTGTATGTGGGATTAATGTCTGAGCACCTGCATAACATACGTGTGCACAGCTGCATGTCTGTGCAAGATGCCGTGAGTGTGTGCTTTCCCAAAAGTGTTTGTCTAGATACTGTAAGTCACTCAGACTTCCCATCCCCAGGCCCTGCTCCGTTTAACAATGCAGACAAAAAAAACACTCTCTGGCTCAGGGTCCATTTTGAAGCGAAGGATTATGGGATGGCGGGGCTTTGACTTTTAATTCAGCATAATGCCACCACCGGTCTTCCTTGCTGACTCGAGCTCCTTGTCACTGCTCTGCAGGGCAAAGGGAACAGAGGCAAACCTTGCAGTTACAGTGCCTTAAAAAAAACAACCTTTCAATGTCTCGCCTCCCCTTCAGCCTCTTCAGTCATCGATAAAGGAATACTTTGCTGAAAATTTACTTTGTTAGTTTCAGGTCGACAAATTTGTAGCTTGCACTTTTGCTGAGGACAGCAGTTGCAGTTTGAGCATGGATTCACAGCTACAGTAGATTTAATGCTTCTGAAACCACTCGTGCAACATAGTTTACTTCTTTAATGTTTAACCAGGTTCAGAAAACGTGTAAGTGTGCTACTTGTAACAGATAGAGAGCTGTTAGGTTCAAAGAATGTGACATGGAAGTAGTGTATTTAGCTACATTCAGGAGAAACAGAATACTAAAAATCTGCAGGGAGGTTAGCTCATTGGCAGCTGTTTTCTGAGGTGGAAAAACAGCCAAGCTAATCAGAGTTATGATATCTTCTAGTGTGAGAGGCAGAAAAATGGCCAAGACATGGTGGCAGAAGTGGATAAGACTGATGCCATGATACAGATTGTTCAACTTCTTCTCACCGAACTAACTCCTAAATCGATACATTTCTTCTGTCGATGCAAAAAGCCAACCAAAGTGAAAATTATGACATTTCTTGCTTCTGTCTCCAAGCAGAAAATGACTATGCTGGCTCAGATGTGAACAACAATGTCAGACTGAGTAGTGAAGTGAAACATGAAATGAATAAAATGAAATACTGTGTTTGTTTTTCTAGTGTGGTTAGATCTGTCACACTCAGCTAAAACCCACACTAGCAACAAACAGACATTGTGCAATCAGCCCTGCTAAAGGAGCAAGCTACAAACTCTTCAGAAATCCCTTCCATGCTCACAGGTTTACATGTTTGATACCTGGCAGATAGTTTTTCAGTGGGGTATTCCTTTTAAGTGCCCTGTAGTCTTAGAGATCAGTTTGGTTAGATTAGTCTGTCGTCTGTCTCTTTCCCACCTCCTGCTGTTCCTGTCCACATCCATGTCTCCCTTTTCATTGTCCGTTTTCTCTACCCCAATATCTTTTGCCTTCATCCCTATCCTTGTCCCTTGTCTGTCACACAGCTCCTGTGCAGCTGACGTCCTTCAGTCACCACCCGTCCCCATCCAAAAGTTGTCCTTATGTCTGTGCCTAACCCTGTCCTCGTCTTCAACCCTCTAACCCAAACTGTTTTTCCTCACTCCAGCACCCTGTCCACCTCCGGTCCTCTTCCTGTCAGTGGTGCTACCTGGTGTAGGCTTGTTTGAACGGGGCGATCCCGGTGTGACCGGCTCACCCCGCCGCAGGTGCCAGCTGCCCCTATGCTTCAAGCACAAGCACTTAAAGCACTTTAGCTGCGCTGCTACTCGTCAATGCATGCAGTTAAAGACAATTGGACCTATCTGCATCTGCATACCTTTCCTCAGAGGTAATGTTAGATGAAACAGCATGATATTGTAGGAAAACAATAATAATCCAGGAAGGAAAAAAAAAAAAAAAGAAAGAAAGAAAGAAAAAAGCTACACCAGGACTTCTGACAGCAAACTTAGCGAACGCCCCTCAGAAATTCTTCATTCAGTGCAACTGTTTTCTTTTTTGTTGTTGTTGTTTCTTTGAAAAAATGCTTGTATGATCGTATGCCAACAAATCTCCACAAGGTGGACACAGCACCAAATATGCATTCACACAAGTGGTAGGGGGTCTGAGCTAGGAGGCGTGGTCCTCCCCGAGGAGCTTCCTGCCCGATGCTCTCCCATATCCTGTGTAAAGACTTGAAAAGTGGAGAGAGTGCCGACAGAGAATGCTCGCCCAGTAGCTTGGTAGCATGAAATCGGCTGTACACTTCCTCTAACAGACAGCAGCAACTTACAACCAGCCTGTTGGTGCTATATCCCATCTATTCAAAGACTTGATGTAAGGGGAGGAACATACATAAAAATATGTTTAAGCTATTCCCTCCCTAATATTTGTAAGTGTGTCTTTTTATATATTATTATTATTATTATTATTTCCTGGCCAGCTATGTGTCTGACTAGACATCATGTACAGTACTTAAAAAAAAAAATATTTATCTAAGAAAGAATTATAAGCTGATCCAAACTAGGTTTTCTTATGAACAATTCAGTGACTCACCGATTGCACAGCAAAGTCTATAGGATTCAGTGTATTTTGGGGAATATAATCACTAATGAATGTTTTATTTTTTAATGAACCTTTTCCTTCTGTTGCTCAGCAGTGTCATTGGTAAGCTCCATGCCCAGCAGGCAACTTCCAGCCTCGGGCAAATCTGTGTCAGTCAGGCACTCAGGTCTCTGGTCATCTTAGTTCACTGCTTCTTAAGGCCAGTGAACCTCTCACCTCTCACTAAGTCACTTCTCTCCATGTACACCCAGCCATCCCGCCTCAGTCTGTTCATGCAGAGCCAGGGTCACATTTCTGTAATGTCACTTTTTATTTTTCCCTGCTGGTCACGTTAAGACTCTCTCTGTTCACGGGTAAATGTATTATGTTTTTCAATTCAAGTTTATCCTTCAAAGAGTTGTTTATGTTTTTTTTTTTGTTTATTGATTCAAGCTTTTCATGATACTAAACTAGAAATCACACAGATATTATTTTCTTTGAGAAAGGAAATGATTTTGATTCAAAATATAATTTGTATTTAATGTCTTTTTTAAAATAAAAAGTGAACACATTTTAAGACGCTGTCACTCATGTTTTTTTTTTTATGACTGGGCATTGTCATCAGCAGCTCATAAGTCGATCATCTCGTCTTCATTTCTGCAGGCAATCAGGCCAAAAATTTGCTCCTGTTGAAGTCCTTGAATGCAATCAGGCTCCCCTCAGTCTTGGAATGTGTCAATAAGGATAAAGCAAAGGTTCAATTTGTAAAGAATAAAAATAAATCTGGTGGTGCCAGGCAGGCTGGCAGTGGGCATGAGAGGTTGAGGCGAATTCCTGTGCCCGACCAAGGCAAACAGAGAGCGGGTCAAAAGGCAGCGCAGAGCTGCATGTCCCGGCGAACTGGCTAAAGTTAGACAAGGACCTCCACTTTAGATCACTGTGATAACACTGCTCACAAACACACTGAATATAGAAAATGTGGTCCAGCAGTGCATCTACACACAGAGTTTCACAATCATGTCTTGATGAAGCTGTTATGTTTCTCATGTTTTGCCACCTGTGAGTGCACAAAATAAACCAGCCTGAGGTGAAAGAGAGGCCAGGAGCACATAGCTGAGGTTAATGTTTTTATTAAATATATCACCTTTTTTCTTACATTACATCTCAATTACAAAAGTGTACATACACACGAGTGAGCAGTTTGTCACTTTGGAATAGACTCACATAAACAATAATTCTCTCTCCAACAGCAGCATGTAGATGGAGCTGAGCCGACGTGGTTCACTGCAGGACTCGCTCTTTGTGGTCATGTGTTCTTGGTCAGAGAGAACAGCAACATAAAAGTAAAGTAGCAAGTCTTTTTGTTTGACAGATACATCAACACAAATGACAGCAGACATGTAAATATTGGAGGTAGGTAAATGTAGAAATACCCGTCTGAGAGGCAACGCTGGGAGTCACCGCCTGTCATGCTATCTGCAACCCCATGGAACCATGGGAAATGTTTTCTGAGACTGTTTGAGGATTCAAGACTGAGAGTTTTGCATTCACTGACAAGAGCTGATGTGTCACATCAGAAAATAAAAAGACAACAACATAAAAGAAGACATAACAATGGCAACAACATGAAAATAAATCATAAAAACAACATTTAGAAATACTTCTAAATGGCATTTGGTCACTCAGTGCTTTTGTTCTTGCTTGGTTTGTCTCAAACCAAACCTCCAGAAAACTCCTTAAGGGTAGAGCGAGCTCAACTCAGCAGTGGAGTTAGTCAGGGCCAAGATACATATTTACACTTTATACATGCATAAAAATAATAATATAATAATAACAATAAGGCCAAAAAAAAGATATAAATACCCATGAAATAATTACAAATAACAAATAGAATGCAATAAAATTGAAATAAATAAGGCTGAAGAGTAGAAGTAAATGCATCAATATTAAAATCTCCTTTTCAGAAAAACAAAAATAGATTTTTTTCTCTCTCTTTGGGACGGGTGTTTGAAGGGGTGAGGGAGGAGGGGGGCCCACAGTCCCGCAATGACAGTGTACCTGAATTAAACACCACCATGGACAAGATCAATAAATAAACAGCTATCAAAAAGGAAAAATCAGTGGCTTGCTTCTTCTTTTTTTTTGTGAGATCTGCTCCAGTGGTTGATCTCTTTAAGGGCACTCGGCATCTGCAGGCAGGTCAGTTGAACCTAAAATCTTCTTGCCGTTCCAGGAATTCACACACCAGCATCGACCCCTCTGTCCGTCCAGAGAGGATTCACACTGCAAGGGAGACAGAAATCCTATTATTTAGCTGCTTTCATTTTCAGGGTGAGACACACATGTATGGTCATGCAACAGAGTGACATCACAATCAAACAAAACTCTGAGTTGCTGAACAAATCCCTGCATGCAACACACACAATCAATTTGAAGCTTTGGCTGACATAATCTTGGCTACACACTCTCACACCCCCACAATTTGGTGAGATTCTTTCATGATGAGTGGAGTCATGAATCCATTCATACCAAAAAAATAAAAAATTCACTCAATGCACACTTCACTGAAGACACCAACCTGTTTGGGTTTGTAAAGCCCGTGTTTGTCACAGTTGGGGAGGTAGAATCTGGTTAACTTGTCTCCTAATTTCTGTTGAGATTTGGCAATTTTCTCCAAGGCTGTCTGCAGCTCCAGGTGGCAGGGCCCCTGCACAGAGGAACCAAGACAGAGAAGGGTTGAGCGAGCAGTGCCAACACAGAGAAATAATAATCAGCACTGTTTTATTATCTGCAAGCACGTGGGCTGACATCAAACTGCATATAAAACTTGTCCCCATTCTCCCTCTCGCCTCATTTCAAACAGCGCACGAGCTCCCCCTTGTGGCGCACCAGTCCTCTCCAAACCTCCCGCAAAACTTTTAGCAACATATCACACTGAGGATTTCGCCAAATCCACACACCAATACTCATACACTGTCTGCGTCTCACCTGCTCCACCAGTTTCTTGCGGATGGCGATGAGTTTGGCTTTCATGCTTTCCTGAGCGTCGGCAGCCGCCCTCGGGTCGTAGGGCTTAGGGTGACCGGGGAGGTAGTGGCTGGAGCCGGGGTCCGAGATGATGGCTGCGTTCTCCATCTCCGTTTCTGGCTCTCCCTGATCTGGAGAGAGGAACAGAATGAACATGACTGACTGAGTGTGACTGTAAGCGGCTCCAGCTTAGTCAGGTCATTTGTTTGTATGATTGGGATAATGAGGATTTGTTGGATGTGCAGAAGCACAGATGCAAAATGTGGAGGTGATGTGGGCCTACCTTGTGTCTGGGGCTCCGGGGTGGGCTCGGGCTCAGTGCTCTCCGTACACACGGCTTGTCCGCGGGTGAGGGAGTGTAGTGGTCGGGGGTCGCCGGGTCTCGGAGTGCACCTCAGTCCGGAGCCGCATGGCGCCGTGTAGATCCCGCACAGCTCTCCTGCCTTCAGGGCGCAGGCGGGACAGCATCCACAGCCGGGCGCCCGCAGCACCTCGGCGCATCCGGGCGCCACCGCTGGACACTGGCTTAGCTTCTCCGGAGTACACGCGGCGCATCGGATCGGCTCTGGCCCCAGCACCGGGGACCCCAGCGTCAGTGTGACCAGCACGGAGAACAGCGCTGCTACCACGACGTGCTTCAAATGTAATCCACCCATGGCCAACATGGTTATCTAGATACTAAATATAGAATGTAAAATGTAGAGCAAGGTAGAGAGAATGATCAAAGGTAAACGCCGGATTCCCGCGGTTCTTGCTCAGTTGTGTCTTTCGTTTGATTTTGGGAAAATGTCTAACTGTGCCTTGCGCGCAGCCGTATTTATAGCCGGGTCCTCCGTGAGTGTTGACGCATCGGCGTTATGAATGATTTCTGAAAAGAAGGTGTAATGATACGATGGGCTCTGATTGGCCCGCACATGTCCGGTCAGGCGGCTCATTTGAATACAACAATCACGTCAATATTTATTTTGGAACAGCCAGTGCCGGCACGTATCGCTGACGAGTGACGACACCAGTGTTTGATGTTGCAATCAAGAACCCCCCTTTTCTCACCCGGGTGCTACACTAAACAACTTTACCCCGAACTGCCACATTATAATCACAACACACAGGCAGTGAGTTTGGTTCGTGCTGTTTGTTTTCACGAGTTGAAATGAGAATAAGTTCTCGCAGCGTCACATGGGAACAGATTTAGGATTTTAGGAGTGAAACAGTTCCTTGTTTTCTGCTTTGCCCCAAATGAGCTCCCCTCTTTTGGAACAACGTTGTCTATTCATGGGAGCTTTCCATTAATTGTGTTCCCTAAAATTCTTACACAACATTTGGGAAGAAAACTAATAATGAGCGCAAATTACGCACGCCCACGCTGCGCGCACAGAGAGTGGGCCCGCCGAGAGGCTTTAATGTGACATGAGAAAGCATCCGAGCATCACAGAGGGATAATAAACCCGAGTTTCAGAAATAGCTGCGCGAATGAGGGTCACCGTTTTCGCCAGTGAGTGGAGGGCTCGGGACTCTGCGGTATGTGATCCCTCTCTGTCCCTTGCGCGCACACTGAAGCCGGCTTTGGGCTCCGTCCAGGAGATGTCCCGTTGTAATTACTCGTTTCCTGGGATAATAATAGAGCAGAGCCTGAATCAGGGCTGCCTGACATGACCATAGACACGTCCCTCGCCTCGCCACTCTCTGGGGGCTTTGATGGTCCCACGGTGGACACTTGCACGTTTTCACGGCTTGCTGCAAGGCATTTGGTGTCTTGTCACTGCTGACCAGCATGTGATAATGTTCCCTCCATTTGCAAAAGACCTAAAGAACCCTTCTGATGTCAGTGCAACCTCCAACACCCCGCTTTTTATTTATTTATATTTATTTATTTATGTATTAATTTCTTTTTATTCGTAGACCCCCCCCCCCCTTCCATATCTCCTTTCACATTTTAATGAATTACCACTTGGTATCTGACTGTTTCTGATGCAACCTGCAGCCTGCTGTCATCGCCTCTCCATGCAACCGCTTTATAGGATTGCATCATCAACCGGCGTTAACAGTCACTCTCACTCATGCCCAGATTATATTCCTCAAAGCCCGGGGCTAAATAAAGCTTTTAGTGTAATCTGATGTGGCGTGAGAGCGTTTCTGCACCTTGGCACGCTCACATCTTCACCTATGTGAAGGTGATTTCAGTCCAGTCACACACCTGTAGTGCAGGGTGTGCAGGTGAATAACGGAAGTGAAAGCCCAGGACTGTATTTAAACACAGTTCAAGGCCTTTAAACTTTTATTTCACTACAGGTAAGAGGGATGTATGCACTTTTATCACATATATGATATAGCTACACATAAAGTTATTTTCTAATATATGATTTTTTTAGAAGTACTTTTCACAGAACATTGTACACTGTTGTGAATTAAACTACAAAGTAGTTAATATCAGCTCCAACTGGAGTGTCTGTATCATTCAAATGTTTCACTTTTGAAATGCAGTGTATTTATATAGTCGATTTATTTCCACTAATGACTGCTTTTACTTCTGGTGGATAAATTAAATTTTTGCTTGTCACATAAAACTACTATAACCATCTTGCAATAGTACATTATATCTTACAAACTCATTGCACATTGTGTTTGTATCCTGTGAATCAGTAAATATTTTTATCTGTCAAAAAAATGCAGTACAGTGTTTCCCTTTGAAGTCAAAATGCACAGACAAACAAAATGCAAACAATCAAACTGAAAGTATCTTAACATTGGATGGAAATGCAGAACCACTGTTACACCTCTAAAATATTAGGCACATATTGCTGATAAAAACATGTGTGCTCATAATGGATAGATTTTACTTGTAATCAAGTACATTTTGATAATACTGATTTTACTAAAATGAGGAACTTCCTAAAATGCCTGGAGGGTTAAAGTTGTAAAAATCACCCTATTTAGCTTTTTCTGACAGCATCATTTATCAACTCACTCCAGTTCTTTATTAAAGCTTTGTGGTGTTTACACAGAGTGAAATATGCAAATCCAGACGCTTCATAATGGGATTATCTGAGATACATTGCGCATAAGTTTATGCACATTTCCCAAAATTCAGTCAGACATATTCAAAATCTTTGAAATTCAAAATAAAGTTTAAACAAGTGTCTTCTTGCAGGTACTTGGGTGGATGATAAGTTCTCTTTCACAGTGCATATTGAGCAGATAGAAAAGAAACTGAAGAATAGGTTCTTATTATCAAAGTAGGGGCAACCTTAGTTTAGCAGGAAAAGGCTTCCACAGGCTTCTGAAGTCTTTCAGACTTTAGGGGTGTTTCTTATATGCACACTGCTGGCTCTACTTTACGCTATATAGACTCTGTGTATTACAATTCTCTATATTTTATATCCAAATCCTCGTCCAGTAAACATCACTTTATGCTTTATGATCTAGTTTCTTGACCTTCTTTAAGCCTTAGCAGACAGCAGCGCTGGTGTATTTTTATCTACAAAGCAGTACTGGGTAAACTTCCTTCTTACTTGTGTAATTTTCAATCACTTACCAACAGCTGTTATAATTCTCACTCATCCCAGTGTCTGCTCAACAGGGTGCTCAGGGTTTCCTCTGAGCTAGGTAGAGCACACTCCACCTGAATGATTTTGTGTCCCAGGGAGAGTTCAAAGCTCTGTTCAAAAGAGGTGTAACTGAAGAGTGCAACTGCTGTTCCTAAACTGGATTTAGTTTTGTGCATTGTTTCAATGTGCTTTACTTTTGTCCTATGGCAGCTGTTGCCATGCTCAATTTTACATATTTGCAACCTTACAATGGTGTGTCAGCTTGGCCAACTTCCACTGACAAGTAGATTTTAATTTCAAGGGGCTTGAAGTTGTTAAATAAAAAATAGATAAATAAATAAAGATTCAAAATAGTGTTTCATGTCTTTGTTTTTTGAGTTTGTAGTGATGGCCAGGCAGTGAGATTTGAGTGGTTGAAAGGAAAGAGGCTGCTTTTCATTCACTCTCCAATAAAACATGTGATGTGTGTACATGTGCAGCTTAAACGCTATGTCCTACAGGAAGTCCAAATGCTGTTTGTTTTTTCTCACTCTCACTAAACAGGAAGTCCTTTAATGCACAACAACAAGAACAGCACCCTTCTCATCACACAGTGGGGAGAGACATTTATTCAAGGACTGGACTTCACTATATCTTTGATGTAGTTTATTTACATACTACTGTATTTCAGGAAGGATGGAAACATTCTTGTCTCTCTGCTGTATTAATTTGACAGTTCCACTTGATTCCACTGTGGATTATGATTTTACAGCGTTTAAACTTCTTATATATGTTCATCACATTGTATGTTGCTAGATTTCAAAATACACAGCAGTTAACCCTTTCCACCTTGGAGTATGAAGAGCAGAACGTATGCAATGAAGAGGCTGTCTGGTACTACTACGTCTTATTTCTGTTACATCAAATTAAAAATATAAAATGGAGTCACGGTTGAGAATTTTGTAAGCAGGTTCAAAAACATCAGTGTTAGATGACTCAATGTGATAAGGCTGTTATCTACTCTCTGACTTAATTTCACTCTATCCTTGTGATGGGGACACAGAGACTTATTGTGTTTCCAAAATGCCAAAAGCGCCACAGTAATTAATGGATATAATATGTATAATGACATGATACTTAGACATAAATACTTTTTGCACTACTGTCAGTTGCTTACACAAAAACAGCAATTCAACAGTGCAATAATACACCATTGCAAGTTAGAGTCTGCAAAAGACTGCAAGTATGGAAATATTATCACCAACATGTATGAAAAGATTTTAAAGAAAGAAACATTCATAATGTATAGTTTATGAGTGTTACAATATTGCTGGATTATATCTGCTAATCTATGTGGTACGCTGTAAATAAAGAGGTCTAAAAACAGGCAGGAACAGTACTTGTACTAGACAACTAACAAACCTCCATCGTTCTATCATCTATGTGCCCAGAGAACTGGAGTTATATCTGGTAACTACTATTAGTTGATATTTTGATTGTAGTCAAAGCTGTGAGATGCTGCACTGATAAAAACAGGAGGTGAACTGGCTGGTTAAAGAGCCATTCTTAGAAACACCTCGCTCACCCCCTAGTTCCTGCTGTAGAAAGCCACCTAGTGTCAGCTAAGAACTCAGTGTTGTGTTGTGTATCATTAAGCACAAACATCATTGACCTGTGTGAGCTACACAGTCTAAACTGAGCAGGAGATCAAACTCAGGACCTCTTACACTATAAAACAGAGCATGAATAGTGGACATGCTGTCTACTGAGTTACATAGAGCAATGCTGGACTTCACAACTTTACATTTTATTGAAGAAAAAGTTGACCTTAAGAATTTTACTTATTAGTAAGTTTTTGCATTATCATGTTTTTATTTAGAGTTCGTGTAGCTGAGCGTGAGCTTCGGCCACTCATCCATAAGTGGTCCAATTAAGGATGTACACCATGTTGTTCTATTGCCGCCGTCATCAGATGCTTTCATGTCAGGCTTCTCTTTCAAAGCCGCTTTGTGCAATGCAATCCAATCTCAACAGTATTTAACTGTAAGACATATCATCTGCAGTCAGAACACTGTGTCCCTGTAATTTTACAATATGTTACAGTGGAAAAATGCTTAGCTGCTGTCATTATTTTGTACCCATTATGCATTACGATGTAGCTGCAATTAAACTTTGCGAAATGACAGAGCCAGAGGTTACGGTAAATTTTTACTGTAGAAATTACAACAGTTTATTATGATGCACAATAAATGGTGAAGTGGTTATTTTAATTAGATG